TTTTTTTTTTTTTTTTTTTTTTTATATACGACAAATTCTAAAGCGTGCTGTGTAAGTATAACGGAAGGCTGGACGCTACTCTGCATCAGCTTTTACTGAACTTTCTTCGTCGTGAGCAGGACTATGCCATGTTAATCGTTCTTCATAAAATTTGATCACAATTTGTGGACATTTTTCATTGGCAATTCGTGCAGGAACTAAATCTGCATCATCTGTTCCTTTCCACTTCATTAAAAACATTAATTCTCCACTGGAATCTGTTGCACCAATTATTCGTTCAGGTTCCAAATTTCTATCAAAACCTATATACAAAAAATGAAACAGTTAAAATTATATAAATAGTTATTACTAAAATATATAAATAGTTATTACTAAAATTATATAAATAGTTATTACTAAAATATATTGTTCAAAGTATCAAAAAAATATTTTACCTTCAGGCTTCTTATCTTCAGTCATCTTTTTTTTGTGAGAAATTAAAGGGCCACCTGATGAACTTTTTCGTTTCTTCTGTTCTTTATCTTCATGTCGTTTACCAGCTGTAGCTGCTTCCTTTTTTTTGCGTTGTTCTTCAAACTGTGCGATTAGATCTGGACAATCAAGATTTTCTTCTGGTTCCCATGTATTTTCTTCATTGGAATATCCTTTCCATTTTAGAAAATATTCAACCTGTATTACACCAAAATGGGTAGTAAATAACAATTGTAATAATTACATAGAGGTAACATATATATCAATCACGTACTTTTCCCTTAACCACCCTCCTATCTAAAACTTTTTCAACGCTAAATTCTTCCCCTCCTGCAGATTCTCCAGGAGATGAATCCTTTCCTTTGCTCATTTTGTTTTAATACTGCAAATATATTTTACATGTAACACAATTATAAGCTAAATGATTGAAAAAAAAAAGAACTGGCATTGAATTCATATAATTATAATCGAAATAGTTGACCGAATATAAATAATACATTGATGTAAATGATAATTTTTGAAAAATATAACAACAGATTCAATAACTTTGTAAGAAAAAAACTTCAAAGATGCTAAGAGAAACGAACATGGTGCAAAATGGCGGTACGACAGCCGGAAAGCAAAGGTTTTTCGCGTGAACTTACATAAGAATTCAATAATAATCTGATTGTAATTTAATCTAGTTTCATGGTATTTTGTACGATCAATTTCATCATACTCTCTAATTATGATACTTACTCAGAAGAAGCTATAAGAAGTGCAAAGACTCAATTACGACGATGCGGCGGGCTTTCCAGCGCTTTAGCGTCTCATTACCGCGTTGCCGCGAAAAATAACAGGTTGACCAACATATAGTATGAAAATGATTTTACAAATTTATTGTCCTTTAAAATTAGAAATTCATTTTTTACAAGATTTTCAAAACAAATTTCCACGTGGACGTCGGTTAATTTAAACTACAGAATATCATAATTACTGAGAAAATTGCATTAAAGAACGGTAAATTTTTACCTGCAAGCAGGATCTTTTTGGAGTGTTCATTTTTTTGGACCTATCAATTTAAAATATTCATACGTTAAACTTTTCTTAATAAGTATCGTTTGCTTGATAATCTGTATTTTTTCATTGTTGTTAAAATATGAAATGATCTTTGATTTGCAATTCAATAAATATTTCGAATCGATTAATATTTCTGGAAGTATTTAAATTTCTTGATATTTTTAATTATTTTCAAAACTTAATTAAGCTTAATTTAGCTTTTACAAAAATTATAACGTATAACATTTTATAAAGAATAGTATTTGATTATTAATATTCTAAAATAATTTACATTGTACGTAGTGTTAAAGATTATTTTTGCAGATGGCACTACAATATAAAATTTTAATATTGGTTTTCCATTCTAGAAATACGATGATTTAAACGGCGCTGAAAATTCGGAGTTGGCAAGGACTTTCAAGGTATTGTTAAAATAGAATTTGTAAAGTAATAGTGTGTGATAAAATCATTCAATTAATTCAAGTTTAATTGTTTTTTATAATTAATTTGCAGAACAATATCTAAAATGGCTGCACGATCCGTTATTAAATATTTACGTCCGAAAACTGTTGTACCCCAAATTCACAGATGCGCATCGTTGTCTGCATTTGAAATACAACACAAAACCCCAACTATCAAAAAAGTAATGCCCATACCAAAAGCCCATTATGGAGGACGACATACAGTTACCCTTTTGCCTGGTGCTGGAATTGGCCCAGAATTGATGAACTATGTGAAAGAGGTATCAAAATATTTTCGTGTACTTTTAGCAAAAAAATAACATTATGTTAAAGGACAAATTCTTACATAATTTTTTTTATATATTTCTTACAGGTTTTTAGTTATGCAGGTGTACCAGTAGATTTTGAGGATGTAGAAATTGATCCAAATGCAAATGATAACGTTGATTTAGATTATGCTATTACATCAATTCGTAGGAATGGTGTAGCACTGAAAGGAAACATCGAAACTCGTAGTACAGAAGCTGGTGTACTCTCCCGAAATGTTGCTCTTCGAAACGAGTTAGATCTTTATGTAAATGTCTTGCATTGTGTATCGTATCCTGGGGTAAATTCACGACATAAAAATATTGATATTGTTATTGTTAGACAAAATACAGAGGGAGAATATGCTATGTTAGAGCATGAAAGTGTCAATGGTGTTGTAGAAAGCATGAAGGTTATTACAAGTGTTAATTCTGAACGTGTAGCAAGATACGCATTTGAGTATGCTAAACGAAATGGAAGAAAAAAGGTTACCACAGTTCATAAAGCAAATATAATGAAACTTTCTGATGGGTTGTTTTTAGAAATATCAAAAAAAGTTGCAAAAGATTATCCAGATATTACTCATAATAATATGATTATTGATAATACGTGTATGCAATTGGTCTCCAATCCACATCAATTTGATATAATATTAACAACCAATTTATATGGAGCAATTGTATCAAATGTAGTATGTGGTTTATTAGGTGGTGCTGGATTATTAGCAGGCAAAAATTTTGGTGATCATTATACAATTTTCGAACCAGGTACTCGTAACACTGGTACAGGTATTGCCGGAAAAAATATTGCTAATCCTATTGCAATGTTAAATGCTGCTGTTGATATGTTACGTCATCTTGGACATAAGCATCATGCTTCTTTAATTCAGAATGCCATCAATAAAACTATAAACCAAGGTGTGCATACTCGTGATCTTGGTGGACAAGCTACCAGTAGAGAAGTTGTTGATACCATTATGAAACACATTAAAACAGCATATGATTAAGACTGATAAAATATATCATGTTAAAAACTGATATAATAATCTAGAACTATACGTATATATTTAATTTTGCTTTTTAGAAAGAATATCTATTGTTTGGTATAATGAAATATTATTGCAATTGACAGCATTAACTATATCTTACTATATCTTACTTCTTTCCTTAAAAAAGATTCTATGTGTATTTCGCACAAAATTATATGAAACAATTTTTAATTAAAATGACACATTTGATACTTGTACTATAATAATATTTTATGTAATATAATGACATCATTGAATTATTCATCAAGTTCGAAATTTGTAAAATATATATTGTAAGCAAAATAGTATTAGTAGAGATTAAATATTGTAATTATTCTTACAAGACATGTTTGGGATGTAAATTTTTTTACTTACATCTCATTGAAATATATTTTCTTGCAATTATATGTTTCTACATGTCTTTAACAATTATAGTCTCATGGTAATTTTCTGGAAAAATGATTTATACTGAACGATATATTAGTGGACTTAATTTATTTTATTTCATTTACAAAATATTTAGATAGTGAAAAATACTTAATACTATTAATAATATTGTATTATAGAATATATAAAAATCATTAAAACCCTAATATATACATAATTTAATTTTGTAGAAGTTGTAATACAAATTCCTCATCTGCTTTTAAATCTGTACTGTCCATATCAAGAGATGATTTTCGTTTCTTTTTCTTTTTGAATTCATCTTGCGTTATGAGTTTCCTTTTAGATGGTCTGTAAATGATAAAAATATGATTACCAAAGATAAAAATGATGTTAAAAATAAAACAAATATATTTTTGTAGATACAATGATATTTAATATCCATAAAAATGCAAACCTATGTATATTGCTTTCCTCTTCACTTTCCTGCGTTTCTGGATAATTTTCCTCTTGTTTGCCATAGATTTTATCTGGATCTGGCAACCAAGATAAATCTGGACCACTATATTCATCATCACTGGTATAGTCATTTATATTATCCTCAGTTTCATCTTGATCATTTTCATTATCTATTTTCTTATTGGCTTTTAATTTTCGTTTTTCTTCTTTATGTTTTTCTTTTATTTTTTCTCTAAAACGTTGTTTATCAAACTTGTCTTCTTCGTGTAATATCTGTTTAGCTATTTCTATATTAATTCCACAATCTTCTTCGTTTTCATATTGCTTAGCTAGTTCAGAAATTTTATGTTTAGAGGGGTTTAGCAATTCCTGTAAAGTAAAACGAGTCATGATTGTATTCACAATTATTGAAAAGAAAAAAAGAAAGAAAGAGGGAAAAAAGAAATTAATCAAACCTCTCCTTTGTCATCGAAAGTAATTTTTTTATTTGGTACTATCATTTTTCGAAGAACTTTTTTGGCTACTGCAGCTTTAGTAATTGCTTTCTTTTTGTTTAAACCTTTGTCTTGTTTGCCAGTGGTAGCAATTTGTACATCATCAAGATTTATATTTTTTCGTTTCACGGTCAATATATCATCATCACTATCATCTACACAAAAAAGAAATACAGTCATTTAAAAGAAATAAATAATTCGATAAGTCGTAATATTTATTTTTATACCAAGTGTAAAATCAATTGAATTCATCGAATGAGATTTAATTTCTTGTTCATCGTCTTCGCAGTCATTTATTTTTACATTTATATCATTTAATTCATTATTAACAGCAAGTGGTTTTTTCTCTTCAGTATTTTTATTTGATAATTGTCGTTTTTGTTCCATTTTTTGAAGGAATCGAATTCTTGGCGGTATAGCTAAACCTAAAGATCTAAAAATGTAAATCAATTATAAAATAATGAAACAAAAACTGTTCGTGTAATATAAATTATTATATATTTACTTTACCTTGCAAATGAATCAGTATTTAATACATGAACATTAAAGATCTCTTTATCTTTCATTAAGAAAATTGATTTTATATATGATACAAACGCTCTCTGAGCAGTTTCTTTTAATGAAACATCTCTTGCTAATAGCGCTTCCATTTTACGTTGTGGAGATTGTAATTTTTTTGGATTAATTCTAAAGAAGTATTATTTCAATTTATAAATACATATTTAAAATATTACAAGTTATCTAATTATTTACGTAATTCAAGTAATTCTAACTCACTGTATTATGGATATTGGAATTTTGCACGTTTGAAGTTTCTCAACCATTTTTTCTTCAGACGGTAATAAAACCAACAAACATTCACCATTTCGTTGAAATCTAGCTGTTCTCCCAGCACGATGAATATATGCATTTACATCCTCAGGACAATCCATTTGTACAACCCAATCCACAGCAGGGAAATCTAAAATTTATTTGAATTATGAATAGTGCACTAAATTTTTAAATCTCAATATGAATTGCACTATTTTTTTTTTTTGTTACCTAATCCACGTGCAGCAATATCAGTTGCAAACAACACTGCAAATTGTTTTCTACAGAAAGTATTATAAATTTCCATTCTTCTAAGTTGATGTAAAGTACCATAAAGTGCTAGCAAACTTATACCAGGCCTTAATCGACAAAATACTTCATATATATATTTTACCTAAAATACAATTCTTATCATATTATTGTTAATATTAAAATAAATCATAGCAAATATTAGTATACCTGTTTACAACTAGAAAAAAATATGATAACTTTTTGTTTTAAATGATTTCGTATGAATGACCATAACATTGAAACTTTATCTTCTAAAGCACAAACAACATAATTTTGCTGAAGTGCTTCTGGTGTGGTATGTGCAGCATGTTCATGGACTGATACATACATAGGATCTTTCAAACTTAACCTGGCCAAGTCCCTTACAGATCTATTAAAAATTTAACAAACACAATCTGATTAGGATAAAAAAAAATTATATTTTATTTACTTTTAAATATACATACTTTGTTTGTGTAGCAGAAAATAAAAGAGTTTGCCGTTTTGGAGGTAAGTTTTCAATAATAGAATTCATGGTTTGCTCAAAACCCATATCTAAACATCTATCAGCTTCATCTAATACCAATACCTACAATAACAAACAAATGAAGATATCTGTTGTTACTTTTCCATTTTATGACAATTAATTTAACTAATATTTTTATATCGGATGATTTATTTATATTTTTGTATTTATTTACCTGCATATTTACACAATCAAATAATGGATTTTCATCCATATGCTGTAACAAACGACCAGGAGTGCAAATAACAATATTGCATTGATCCATACGTCTTTTTTCAAATTTGAGATCTTTTCCACCAATAATAAGACCAGCGGAAATATCATGATAATGACCAATTTTTTTCAACGTTTCATATATCTGATAAGCAAGTTCTCTGGTTGGTGTAATAACAAGTGCACCAAGTCCATCTAATCTTGTCCATCGTTTGCAATATAATATCTCTAAAATCTAAAATAAATTTAATATCTTTGTTATAAATTTGCTTATCAAAATATTACATAAATCTGACTAAATTTATTACTGGAATAAGAAACGCCAAGGTTTTTCCACTGCCAGTTTTTGCTGCCCCTAATATATCACAACCACGTAGCGCTAATCCGATACTTTGTCTTTGGATATCTGTCATTTCAACATAATTATTTTCTGTGAGACCTTCTAAAGTCTTTGTTGAAAGTGGAAGATCTGTAAATTTTGTTATTTTCGTTTCGTCGATCTGAAAATATATAAATTTTATGAGCAAGAGTAAGGTCCTGAATATACTATACTTATAACATCCGCGTTGCAAAATTTTTCATTCTGTAAAATTTGTATTTTCAGGGATATTTTATGGGTATTGTTATGCATATTTATTAAAAAATTTAACTACTAAATTACTAATTAATTAGTAAGAATGTTCAAAAACTTATGTTAAAAACGGACTTCATTTCCGTCCAAAGGTAACCACGTGAATAGATATTAAAATGAAATTTTTCCCTATTGCTGCAGTTTATCCGGCTGAATTTTCAAAATTGTTGATTTCTATGAAAAATAACCTTTCCATCCTTTTCATTTTTAGTAACCTAAAATACTTCTGAAAATACGAATTTGAGAAAAAAATTTTGGAGTCCGAATATCGTAGTATATCCAAATATTTTTACGAACTTAAGAAAAAAAAGATCAAAACTTACAGTATCATATTTAGATTGTAGATTTGCAATTATTGTTGTTTCGGGTAGCTTTTTCTTTTTATTGTAAAATTTTACTTTCTTTTTCTTTGACATTTTAGCCAAACCGTGTTGAGGTTAGGTGCACAACTAATATACAGCATGGACAAGTTCCATGTATCTCACTGTCATATATAGTTGCAATAGTTATACAGAGTGAGAGCATTAAATAGGAGGCGCTAGCAGCGTAACGTTACTTTATGTGCATATATAACCTAACACACACACACACACACACCATATTTGAATATTTAAATAGAACAGTAACGTTAGGTTAATATTAAACTATGCAACAAATATCTTGTATGCATTTTCTTAAGAGCGAAAAATATATGGAGTATATAAAATAAATAAAAATGATTAATTTTTTTTTTAGTAAATGTGTAAAAACTATTTGGTAAGTAGTACACGTCATCAATAATTTATCAGTAGTTAATTAAAGGTTTAGGAAATGGGCAAGTAAATTGTTTTACACAAAGTTCAACAATTGTTACACGAACGAATTTTAACGACTTTATTCGTAGATCAATTAGGACGAGTTTCATACGATTTTAAATAATTACTTTCCAAGGTGTTCCGAGTTTCATTACAACACAAACCTACAGTTAATAGATTACGAGACGCTAGAGTTGATATTAGTTGACATACGAAATTCGATTGGTGACTGAAATGATTATTTTCGAAAGACCAAGTGAATACATATCACACAGAAAAAAAAAAAAAGAAAAAAAGAAAAAATCTTTTATTCATTCTAATTCACTTGGATTAATGTTTCGATGCCGTAAATATTGACTCACATATTCGGAGCGAATAGAGACCTCTTGCAAAGAAACTTACGTCGGGAAGTAACTAATCAAAGTATCAAGGAAGTAATTAATTGAAAGTTTCGTAGTTAAACGATGATCACATTCGCTGGCGGGACAATTAAAAATAATAAAAAGAATTTATATATTGTACTTTAAAATT